CTTTTCCAAAGTCTTGCTCCACATTCCTGCAGAATTTGTTTGTAAAATGGCAGTTTCGTTCTCGAACAGCTGGTATGTCACTGCTGGATTAGCATCAGCTGAGCAGTTAAAGCTGATAACTTCTCCCTTACATGCTGTGTTATTCCTGGCAGAACTCGTTAACTGGACATTGTCTGGTTCGTCTGAGGAAGAAAGAGACAATTTATAAGACAATAGTATAACTTCTTTGGCCTTTGTTAGTTGCATGTAGATATTTACAGTAGCCAAGGAGTCACCTTCTTTACCCCTGGCTGATGGAATGCTAACAATTGTGTGTCACTGACGTTTTTCTCGGCACTGTTCCATTGCTCGTATGTTAAATATTAATTTTATAGCTTCAAATATTTGAGGCTGAGTAAACTTTGAGCCAGTTTAAAAGGCGCTTAAGACTTGTGTCATTTGCTCAGCTTAAAGGTTTCTGGACCACAAATGGCTTTTCAGTTTGCCCAATTGTTCATGAACAATTGTGATTTTTTTTTTCGCCTATGTAACCACGGTAATGTTATAGAATTTGGAAAACCCTTACTTTTAGCTTACTGTGACTTAACAACCCAGGTATGAGTTCCTTTATTCATTGATCAATTGCAATAAGCAAATTAACATTCACCCACTTATAAGAAATTTTTCAGCAATGCATTTGAGTCTTGCACATACACAAGTTTGTCCAATAATAAAACGACACTAAGGCAAGTGATAATACTAAGACAGAAATACAAGTTAGAAAAGGATAATATTTACTTACACTGCACAGTAATAATTGCTGTCTCTATTGGATTTCCACAGTCATTACTGGCTTCACATTTATATTCACCAGCTTGATTCCTGCTAATGTTTGTAACCACCAACACTTTTTCAGCAGTACTATGACCATAAGGTGTTGTCCAAGTCACCATTGGCAGAGGGATTCCACATACATTACAAGTAAGAGTCGCATTTTTTCCTTCAGTTACATTTTGATCTGGTATTTCTTCTATGGATGAACGTACTAAGATATAAAATACAAAAAAAATATTACTTACAGCTTTTACAGTGTATTTCTTAAGTTGCAGTATTCAACCACACTGTAGTTTGGACGGGGCAATGATTCAATTCAAAATCTTAATATGAAACATTGCCCATAATACAAACTGGCTAGTCACAACAATTTCAAGTACAAATCTTGTGAGTTGAGATAAACTGGTTGAAGGATGCATTTGCATATTTAATTTACTAATTTGTGTTCAGCCTGAGGAAACAAAATGAGAATATGAGAACAGAGACAGTTGTGTTACTAATATTAACATCCTTTGTGTACTAGAATATGCACACTTGTTTATTTGGTTAGCTGAACATAGGGGAGACCATGCAATGACATGCTACACGTTGATTGATAAAAGGGAAAGTTTCTGATGAAACTGTGGTGCTGTGTGGGTGGAGGGTATTACAAGGTACTTTTGCTCTATCAACTGGGTTGATAAAGTTAATTCACCTCTGTAAAGAGTTTGTAGAGCTGACATTTTGAGCATAAGCCATTCATTAGAGCAAATGTCAGTTGTGTAATTATGGAAAGTGCTCTCTTTTTAAATATCATATTCAACATCATTCTCCAGGAATAGGCCACTTTACAGTTGCAGGGCTCAACACTAACTTTTCAGCTTACTAGCCAAGTGGCTGGTGACAACTTAGACGTTACAACAATTTCAGTTTGTTAACTAGCCAAACTGGCTACTGGAAATCAAAAGCCACTGGTCAAAACTGAATTTCTACTTGTTTTTGGCTAGCTGGCTAACATTAGTGTTGAGCCCTGAGTTGTGTGCTTCTAAAGTTGCCAAGCCTTTGATTCAGAGTGAGGCCAAATAATACTATTTCATTGTAATAGAAACCAGTATCTAGTTACAGAAGTATGATGAAAAAGTGATTCACATTTGAAGAGTAGCAACATTTGTATCATAACATTAGGTCACATTTAGCCTCACTCCTGTTCAAAGGCTTGGTAACCAAACAAGCAACTGTAAAATGGTATATTCCTTAGTATGGTTTACATAAGGTCACTGTTGATAGACAGCTATAAGCTAAAATGAGCTGGCTTGAAACAAAAGTTTATAAATAAATATACTTAATAAACATAATTATGATACATTTTCATGAATTTGGAAACATACTGTAGAACAAGCTTTTCTTACTGATTATCCCTCCTTAGTACAATAGGACACAATGATACGATAATCACTTGTGAGCTTGGACTTTGACATAAAGTCTCAAAGAAGCGAAAATGTATTAAGGTGAGAAAATTCAAAGAAATTACCATTGACTGTTAGCATGACATTTGTACTGTGCGTCGATCCCAGTGTGTTATTTGCCACACATCTGTAGAAAAACACTCCTGCAATTTCCAAAGTCTCATTCCACATTCCTGACATGCTTGTATCTAAAATGGAAATGTCATTCCTG